TTCCCTACAGTCTGACAGTACCAAGAGCCTTCTCTGGCTTCTCTGACCCCACAGGAAGCCTGTTCACAAATCACTTCCCTAACATATTTTAATCCCTCACATTAACTGAAGTTCCGATAAACTACTAGACATTCAAAGCTTAATCTCATTTCTGGACCTCCCTTCCAACCCCTAACATTCTGTGTTTCTGTGATACTAGTATTAATTACCATCTATCTCGATATTGCTATGATTTTATACTTATATAGTACACTGTTATTGTTACTATCAATACTATACTGTTTATGGTATCCCTTTTACACCCTACAGAGATTCTTGAGCAGACACAAATAAGCAGATGTAACAGGAAACAATTTTATCAATAATGTTAACAATTTCACAGTGCTCGAGAAAGTGCAAAAGAAAAGAGATTAAGAACAAAACAAAATTTAAGTCTGTGAAACAGAAATTGAAAGCAGTACAGTTTCCTCCTGTGCAAAAGCACTAATTCCTTGCATGCTGGTAAGGCTATTCTCTTTTCAGGAGTTCAGTGAATATTGCTAGGCAGTACAGCTAGTTATACAAATGGTTCCTGCTGTGCTAGGCAGACAGCTTTAAAATGATCTGTGAGATCCCAAATATACATGAAATGCTGCCTTAACAGTTTCTAGGGCTTGAAAAAGATACTGCCATGTTGCAGAAATAAAAAAAAAAAAAATCCACTGCAGTTAATCTGAGTCCAAGATAGGATCTGTGCAGAGGATAGAATCATGGAAATCCCAGGTAGCTAGGAGAAGAGAAGCTGTTAGTGTGTGCTGTTGAAAAAAAGGCTGTACATATGATGTCGTGCAAAAATATTAAGCAAATAATTTCTATAAGCACCTACGGGGTTAGCTGGAACAGAACAGACAACATATTTCTTAAGAATAAACAATAACAAAACAATGTAATTATCTTTTTTGGCTGAAAAGATGGTTTAATAGGTAAGAAGATACTGTGGATGTAACATATATCTTGTCAGAAGACTTCTCAGATATTAAAGTCTGCATGGCAGTCTTCTAAACCAACTAAGAAAATATGACTGGGATGTAATCATGGTGAGTTGGATTCATACATAATTGGAATGATCAATGATTTGCTGTCATCCATGGGCATTTCAAGACATTATTTTTAGCAGTCTATCTTGACTTGGTTTTATTTAATGTTTATTTTTAATGGCTAAATGGAATTCATGTTCACTTTTAAATATCAGTAATAACAAATTCAACTAAGATAAATATTAAACTTTACATCTGAAAAGAAAAAGTCATAAGCACGTATGTAAGTATAATATTCTGTCTATGCGGAGTGTTATAGAAAAGCATATACAAAGTTTTCCTGAACCACACTTTCCAGGCACTGATCATGCTCCCAGGATACATAAACAGCATTTTTCTTTAAAAAAAAAATTGATACAGAAAGTGGATTCTCTTCACTAGGAATTGACTAGGCTGGTGCAGACTGAGCTTGCGTACTTTGTCAGTGACTTAAAAGATCTAACCAAGAACAATCCAAAAGAAAATGCTACCAATGACGAGTTTCAGAAAATGCAATTCATGGCTTCCTCTCTTGATTGATTTCTTTATTTTGGGTGCCTTTCCACCAAGGAAAAGTGCAATAAGGACACCACAGTATATAGGAACTATGCAAAGTTAGAGCTATATGTTCTGTTTAAAAGAGAAATTAGCTTTAGCTTTAAAGCATCAGCCATTTTTATTACCTTCACATGCTAATAGTTATTAAGTGAACATGAGAAGAAAGATAAAATTAGCTGGGAAGACTAATCACCAAAGTACAAAAGCAGAGAGAGAAAGAGAGAACTCAGCAACAAGGTAGGAGTTCTTTGGAAATATGAATGTTAATGTTAAAAGGAAAATACATTTTTACAACTCTCAGTGGACAAAAAAATGTGTTAACTTGGTGTTTATAGTTCAGAAAGCTTTTACTTCTTAACAAAAATAATGCAAGATTTTGTGTCTTGACTTTTATGCTAAACTTACATAGCTAAAATCACCAAGGGATAGATGAGTTGTAATTAGTTTTTGTCATCAATAAATGTCATTAGTTCACTTTTTGCCACATTTTTCTTGGTTGACAGATGTTCTGCAAAGTGAATTATTTGGATAGTCTTGATGCAACATAATTTCTCTCATATGATAATATAGTTATGAACTTGCTACAGATAACATGTTTTTAATTACTTTAAGTCAGGGGGATTCTTGAGTCCTCAAGCTGCAAATTGAACTTCAACAATACATTCCTTATGTAAAAATGAAAACCTGATTAACTTTACCAATTTTTTCTTCTTTGACACTGATTATAAAATTCCTGTTTCCTTTGTGTGCATACATTTTTAATGTTAAGAAATATGTTTTGCTTAAAAAAACAAAAAAAAAAG